AAGAAGAAGAAGAAGAAGAAGAAGAAGAAGAAGAAGAAGAAGAAGAAGAAGAAAAAGAAGAAAAAAAAGAAGAATATAGCGCATATCCACGCTCTATATCTTTATGTGCTCGCCTTTGATCAAAAATGAAATGAAACGAAACATGCATTTTGAGTCCTAAATTGACATGTTGAGTATGATATGGGACACCATCTAAACTTTGACTGTATAATTGTTTTTAATTTAGTTGTCAAAATATCCCTTTCTTTCCTGCTTTGAAAGAATTCATTTATACCGGGCCCCTGAAAGCGACTCGGATTTCCCCCTAAGTCAGACGCATTACCGTGATTTCTTTTCTTTGTGGTAAGTTTTCTTTGTTTTTAAAAAACGTTTGTGGGCATGAAATCTCAAACTTAGAAACGATTTCATTCTTAATTGAACTGTAAGCCGAATTTGTAGGCCTTCGATCTAACTAAAACTACAAACAAAGAAAACATGGTGTTCAATCATGAAAACATTCAGAAGCAATTATGTACCCAGCTATGGGGTCTAGACGGTGTCAGGACCCCCTGAAGGATTTTCCTTTCAAAAAGTGTATCTCAATTTCCATTTATGACGTGTTCAATTTCCTGTAAGATGTTTTAATCCACGTACTCCAAAATTGATCCCAGTTGAGAAAAACATAACATCTCAGTTACGACCGTAAGAGGAGCGTTTTCTTTTAATGTGGGGGTTTATTTGTTCAAATAAACTGTTTTCAACAGCTACAATGGTAAGAAAGACCTAATGACAGCTGGTGTTTTGTTTATAGTAACCATATCAGGATTTGTCGTTGGTGGGATAGAATAGGAATGGCACTTCTCAAAGGCCTTGCTGTAACGAACTGTTGTTGTTGTTGTTGTTGTTGCTGTTGTTGTTGCTGTTGTTGCTGTTGCTGTTGTTGTTGTTGTTGTTGTTGTTGTTGTTGTTGTTGTTGTTGTTGTTGCTGTTTGTTTGTTTGTTTGTTTGTTTTTATTTTCGGAAAAGGAGACTGAAAATTCGAGGCATAATAATATGATGGACTAATTGGAAGAAAGACAATTAGAGGCGA